TGGGTGGCCTACATTCTCCTCTGTCATATGTGAAGAAGATATACAGAGAAAATGATTCACATTATGCTATTGAGATAGTATCTAATGTTTTGGGGGATCTGGTGCTTCAGCTTTGATGTAGCCTTTCAAGTCCCAGGAAGTCATAGCCTCTGTCTCGAGGCTCAATTCCTGCTAGCAGTGCAGAGCATTGGCCCTTCGTCCTGTCTGAACCCTGCTCACATTAGAAAGCAGCAGGTGTAGGTTACTAGGGAAACACACACATCTCCTTCAAAGACTATCACCAGCACCTCAGCTAGACCAAGATACATTGCTTAAGGCTGATTGAAAAGATAAAAAGAAGTCCCAGCCAGCTCTGTACATATCAATACAAGGAAATAGGGTCAGGCTCAGTCAAAATGGAGACAATCGCTCTTCTTTCAAGGAGAGCTGCTCAGGTGGTCCTCCACAACCATTCACATTTATTGTAAAATTTTATGTTTCTCTGTAACCAGCTTCACCCAAATGTACATTCAGATTAGTAAAGCTTATTGGTGTACCGTCCAGTATTCAGTCAGAAGCCATTTCCTTCCTTTTTTTTTTTTTTTTTGTAGTAGTAGTAGTACTGGGGATTGAACTCGGGACATTAGATTTGCCAGGCAGGTGCTTATGTGCTTGAGCTAGCTCCCCAGCCCTCCTTCCTTGTTTTCCCTGCTCACTCTGGTTCAATTTTCTTTACATCACCTGGCATATTAATATTGGTCTTGGATAGTTTTTGTCTCTCTTCCTGCCCCCTTCAAGACAACAGTGAAATATACAAGGCAGAGATTTTGTTTAGTTCAGTCTTGTTTCGTGACGCTTTAGGAAGTCCCTTTGGATGTAATAACAGCTTAGTAAACACTTTCTGCGTGAATTACAGAATGAATGGGGAGCTTAGTGGGGAATCCTACTAAGTCTTTCTCCTGACTTCTATATTTTATGAGAGTATTTTGCCTTCATGAAATGTGCTTAAACTCTTCTGGCAGGGTAGATTTGGAATAGAGTTTGAAAAGAATAAAGTTCTTCCTAGTATGAATGTCGTTGTATAACTACTGAGAAGGGAAGCTAGCAAGTATTCTTAGGTTTTCTATTTCATATCACAGAACAGAAAAGTTACACATACCCAAGAAAGGAGAGAGTCTCTTTTAGATGTGCACTCAAAAGTGGCCTGTGTATTCTAATATTAAATAAATACGTTGATCTGGTTGATGTTGCTCTGAGCAGTAATTTTCTAAATTTGATGTCAATAAAAATTAGGAAAGTTGTAAGGAGTTATTACAATGCTCACTCCTAGATTTCTCTAAACTCTCAGAATTTCTGGTAACACAGACTCTACACCTTTAATAATAACTGTACCAGTTGATTTGGGAGTATGTGAAAAAAAAAAGCGCTTGAACATTTTGAAGATAGCAAGCTTGTGAAACTGAGGAGAGATGTAAAAGAACAGAGCAAATACCTTGAAAGTGGTGTGGAGGGCACCTGTGGCAAGTAGGCTGTGTGGGTTGTGGCATCTGCTTAAGATACTTAACAGTGGCTGGTTAAAAACTGTTTCACTTAAATTGAACTGTCCTATTTTGAGTGGAGCCAAGAGAGGCAGATTGTTTGTTTGGTTGTTTGTTTTGCCAAAAACTTGTCTTTCAAGATGAACATATCTTTCCCAAAAGTTTCCAAATACACACAGCTTTAATGTTTTTAAGTGTCAAGTGTGCTGACAGCTTGGTGCATGATGCTCTTTAGCCATCTGCCTAATTTACCTGACAACTTCTGCTTACTTCAGTTGTGCTTGTGGAGAGAGCGCCCAGGCTGCTCATTCTCCTCTGGCTCCCAATTGCATTGCGTACCACTCGCCTTCCAGCTGCCTGACTCCCGGTATGGATGTCCCACGTGTTCCTCATAAGGGGAGGGTTGCACAGTCCCGGGAGAAAGTGTCTCAGAATCATAACAGTATCAAAGTACGCTATGGTAGTGGTTTAAGCAGTTTCTTAGCGTTCATTAATCATTGACTTTTGTTTGATTATTCTCATTTGCATTCCTACTTCCCCCAATAACTGGTCTGTCCAGGAACTAAAGTTACTCTAAGTGTTTTGGTCTGTTCTTCTAAAGGTTGCATATTTAGATTATTGACCTCAGCTTGCCTTCCTATCTGTTCAGGACTCTACTACAAATGGCTATAGAAATGTACCTGACTGCTGTACGCATCCCTGAATAAAGAAGCCCACAACTCGCTGCTGTACTTGGAATGTGTAGTAATGCTCAGATTAGTGGCTCTAAGGACAAGGAGGGAGAGCAGGATGCAGTTAGGAGGTGGAGAGTGTAGGGTGACACTGCGTGTTGACAAAGACCTGGAATAAAAAGAAAAGCATCAATTCTCCTCTTCATACTTTCATCTAAAAGCTCTTTTAGGGAGAAAACAAGAAACGGTATCCAAAAATTAAGTTTATATTACATTTTCTAATGATTTTCTTTGGTTGTAACATGTTATGAAAAATAATTAGTCGACTTATATGGAAATTGAATGTAAACCACAGATTATTAAGCTCATGGTATTAGATTTAGAGACTATTATCTCTGTTTTCTCACCTATTCTTGGTTTCTATTTTCATAAACTGTAGATTCCTTTACCTTTCCTTGTGTATATTTGAAAACTCTAGAGAAAACTAAGGAAGATGTTGTAAGGCAGAGAAAGAAACCAGTTGACAATATCATTTCCTGCATCATTTAATAAGCATCCAGATCGGTGTCTTCTATAAGAATCAATAGGGATGCACTTCTAGGAAACTGGCTCTGACCTGCCCCACCTAGTTACCTGCTACTCACAGACATACAACTACTGACACTTATGTTTCTCTTTTGTGGTGAGCAGCCCATGTGTGTCACTTGTCTCCTTCTATGGCACTAGAGCCATGTTTCAGGGAAGGGTTGTGTTTATGTCTTAGGAGTCCAGGGTAGAGGAGGAAAGGAAAATATATTGAATATAGTCTTTCTTTGTTTTGCTTCCCTCGGAGTAAGCACAGTTATTCACAGTAGTATTCTCTTTTTGGAAGGCATTCACTAATGAGTCTGGTTTTTAAAATGGTTTGAAAATGTAAGATCATAGCTATTAATATGTCCGGTACCAAGCCTGTTGTCGACCACGAGTGAGGCCGTAGTGTTCAAGTACTTCAGATGAAGTGTACAGTAAAATAATAACATAAGCTAACGAGCTGAGTGGGTTTGAGATTGGATCCCCACATCGCTCTTCTTTGGGAGAATCTGAGCATATGACTGAATCCATCTGAGCCCAGCAGTACTTGCTGGGAGGAGTGTTTTGTTGTTGTTGTGTTTGTTTGGTTTTTTGTGTGTGCTTTTTTTTTTTTTTTTTTTTTTTGTGGAACCAGGGATTGAACTCAGAACCTTGCGCTTGCCAGGGAAGTGCTTATTCCACTGAGCCATCTCCCCGGCCCCCTTGAATATAGTCTTTGAGAGAGTTGGAGAATAGTTTAGGTACTACAATATTGGGGTTGCCAAAGAAACAGTGAGCAATAAATAAGGAATACAGTTGGTTTCATGAACTTTAGGTGATTGAGCTTCACTTTTATGATTAACAAAATTCTACAATGTACCTAGTGAATATCAGGCAGAGGTCCACTTCACAGAGACCCTGAGACCTTAGAAGGGTTCTCTCTGCCAGACATAGTGATTGTGTGCCTACAGGCAGGACTGAGCCCTGTGGGCTGTTACTAAGGAAGTAAGCCACCCAAAGAAGGGAGACAATGACTTGTTTGGGGAATGAATTTTTAAATGCTGTTGACTTGTTCAAGAATTTCATCAAAATGACTTGCTTGGGTGAACACATAAATGATCCTGCTTGTTTCATAATTGTTCAGTGACAAAAAGCTTAGCAACAAAAGTGAATATGTGGAACACCAGAAATGAGAATTTAAAAACTCCTAAAGGACTCTTATGTATGGATAATACTGTCAAGCTTAGGGAGAGAGAATCAAATCCCTGACATGATCATAATTCATTTGCTAGGACTGCAGTATCTAAACTGGAAACACCAATATGGCTTTGGTAGGATGGGCTGGCCACAGGGGATGATTCCCCTAAATGCACTCCAAGAAGTGAATGAAGATAAGGGAATGCAAAACGTACAAAATCTACTGAAGGAGTCTATGTGAGAAGACTCTTTGGAAGTAAATATCTAAACATTTTTGTTAAAAGAAAAATTAAGTTAGTTTCAGAAAGCAAAATAAAGCCCAGTAAATGTAATGGGGCAGAAAGGGAAAACTATAATCCAATGATTAGAACTCTTCGAAACATAAAGTAGTTAGGAAAACTCATCGTGCCATCCCTCCTGACATGGTGAGTGCTTAATACATCATTTTGAAATAGAGTGAAAGTTGAGCAATTGTTTTACAGTTTCTTTAAACCCAATTCTATACAAATACTAGCTGTTGATTAGGATGATACAATACATCAACCAGCTCTCTGGCAAGAGAGAGGACCAGCGTCCCTTGCACTGGGCAAGAATCAACTGAGGCTGGAGGATTGGAGAGGGAGTTGGCTGCCTACAGATGTAGCTGGGGCTGTCTCACTGTGATATACACTGTGAGTCCTTTGGCTTTCCCTAGATGGAATCCCACAGTTACTATTTTAGAGAAAAAAAAAAACCATGAAGTTGCAGTCCCAATTTATAGATGAATGAACTTGTAAAATAAAGACTTGCAGGATATGATACTTTCAATTTTCAACGAAATCCTATATAGGTTGTGATATTTGGATATTTGGAATATTTGGATATTGCTTTCATAGAATTTCACACATTGATCACCAAATCCGTGAGAAAAGAAACACATTTTTTAAGAAAAAAAAAATTGGCAAAGGATATTTAAAGTACCCTCCTTGAGATTAGAAACCCACCATTTTCTTCATATTTTGCATAATCATTTAGTATTTGACATATATGCTCAAGATTTATTCATCCTCTCTCTGCTTGTTTTTAGGGTACTTTGAACCCCTACTGTGTGTTGTGGGATGACTCGAAAACGTAAGTAGCAGATGTTTTCTTCCATTTCTTTAGACTAAATATTCAAAGTACATTCAATTATTCTTTTCGCCAGCCAGCTAGCGGGAAGCTGATCAGTAAGTGGGATGTGAGTTATAGGCAGACATAAGCCACCCACCTTGCTCTGCTGGGTCTGTAGGACAGCTTGATGAATGTGTGTGTGTTGCGAGGCCATCGGGTTGCTGCCCAAAAGAGGGTCAAATTACCTAACTGCAAGGCACAATGTGATGTGAATTCCATGAGGGAGTTTTCAAAGCTTAGTATTTTAGAATTATAGAAGCTCAATGTCTTTCTCTAGTAGTTCCCCTCAGCCCTGCAGAGTAAAAAAGCAAGCTCTATCATCCTTTAGCAAAACATGACCTTTGTGACCTGGAATCTATTAACAGAGTAATGCAGTGTTTATATGTTCATTCCAAATTGTATTGTTATAAAAACATTGAGTGTTATTTAATTTTTTATTTGTGATTTAAGAATCCATGAGTGCAAGAAAATAATTGTGCTAAGGATAAGGATTCTGGAGTTTTTACACTGTTGCTGGTGTGAGTAATTGCATTATGTCCGGCCAAATTCATCATTATCTACTTGATAGATCTGTGAGATATTTATGTCTCAAAAGCGTAACTGTCCATAGTTAGGTATTAAACTGTAATATTTGAAGTACTTATGTAGGTAAAAAAAAAACTCTTTGCATTTCTTTCTTATGTTTTTTTGTCCTTGTTTCTTTATTTTTGCATAGAAGAGAAATAAATATTAATCATCCCAAAAGCTTCTACTGCTATGTGCATGTTGGTGAACAGAACACAAGTTCTGGGGTTCTTTTTCTTCTAAGGGTTTTCCTGGTGTTGTTCTCCCCAAATATGATCTGTATCTTGGGTTTTATGATGTTGTCTCTGACCAAAGAGTCAAGAAGAGAGATATTTCCAGAATTTCCAGCAAAAGAGAAAATCCTCTAACAGTTTTGTTAGTCTTACAGTATTGATATTGTTTAAATGACAATAATCTTTAATTGACACCAGTCAGTAAGGCTGAACATAATTATTTGCTATAATTTCTGATGTTTTAGGGATCTTTGAACCCAGTACCATAGATTCCCTTCCCTGATAGTAATATGATCTGATTGTTTCTACTGATATCATTGTTTATTCTTTTTGAAATTCCGCACAGAAATTTAAATAGCAAAATGTTCCCAGATTTACTCTGTCTCCTCACAACTGGGCAAGCTGTTCTGAGGTGTTGCTTATTATCTGTACAACAAAGGGAAGAATGCAATGCTATAAAAACCTAGTCTAATATTTTCTACTCAAGAAGAATATTCTCCCTTAAACTCACAGTGGCTGTTTGATTATTTCTTTGAATAAGAACCAACTTTGATTTGATTTTGTTATCTTTTTATGGGTAGAGCATGCTTCTGTGTTGGTTTAAGCAGAGGAAAAAGTAACTCCAAAAGTCCTAAAGGACTATTGAAAGAACACTACAAGAGGGAACATTCCTCTATTTGATCCTTCTATTAGCTTCTTTTCACACACAGTAGAAGATGTTAAATTTAATTTACAACCTCTTGGTCTCAGAGGTCACTGTTAACCTTAGGAATCCATCACACTCAACTTCCCTTAGCATCTGCTGATAGCATGCCTCTCACCTATCACAAAGAACATGCATTGCTTTACAAAACCCAACTTTAAAGTTGTCCTTGAAGAAAAAAGCTCATCCTCAGAGAAAGAGTGTTTATTTGTGTTTCAAAGCAGATAATCTCAAGAGATCAATGTAGTTCATGTTTCTTTGTTGTATCTGAAAAATGATCAAAAAACTCCCTGTAGTGATAGAATTTCTATCCCATTACACTTTTTACCAGATTGTTTCATCATTAAAATTGGTTTTCTGGCTGAGTTTTTAAATAATGAAGATTAAGACAACTTTATATCTTTTTTCACATCTGTTCTGTTTTAATCATGCTTTGTGTTAATATGCCTAATAGTTTCATTGATGCAGTGCCTTTAAATTTTAGTATAGATCCTTCAAGTATAACAACAGTGAAGAAGTAAGGCTGCATCTTTTAATATAGAAAAGGGTGGGCTTACATGATGCTCTTAAGAGTGTGGTCAGAAAGCTGAAAGTAGAAGTTGCATTCTTTTTTAAAATTTTTATTTTTTAAAGAGAGTACAAATTAGAATTAAAACAAAAAAATTACGAGTGATACAGCATTTCACTCAACAGAGTAATATGAATTTCACAGTATTTATTGTAATACAAAGTGTTGTCTTCCAACCAGTTATTCATATGAGATATATGCATGTAAAATTGGAAAAAAAGAAAAGAAGAAAGAAATGTTTAAGACATTAAGAAGGGAAACAGTACAAACAATTGAAAAAGGAAACTAAGCAAGTTGAAGCATTGTTCTTTCCATAGACTAGCAGAAATGCACAGTACACTTGTCCAAACCATCCTGCTTGCATAAATTTAAATCTCTTTCTCCTGCTCCCTCTCCTGTCCTTCTCCTCAACTCATTAACTTCTTCTTTTTGAATAAGTTCATTCTCTTTTCCCAGTATCTATTCTACCCTTCAGATTCCATTTTTCTCTTTCAGATTCTCACACTAAAGAGACAATACAATGTTTGCACATGTGGGTCTGATTTATTTCAGTTAAGCATGTTATCTAGTTGCATCCATTTACTGACAAAAGACTCAAATTTATCCTGTTTAATAGCTGAATAATACTCCATTGTGTAAAAATGCTACATCTTTTTTTCTCCATTTCTCAGTCTCTGGGCATCTGGGTTGTTGCCAGGATTTAGTTATGACAAATTGCACTGCTGTGAACATGGGTGCACATATATTGCTGTGGTGCTACTGCTATTGCTGCTGCTGCTGCTGCTGCTGCTTCTCCTTCTCCTCCTTTTTCTCCTCCTCCTCCTCCTCCTCCTCCTCCTCCTCCTTCTTTCTTCTTCTCCTCCTTCTCCTTCTTCCTTCTTCCTTCTTCCTTCTTCCTTCTTCCTTCTTCCTTCTTCCTTCTTTCTTCTTCTTTCTTCTTTTTTTTGTGTCTGGCTCAACCCACCCTTGAGGTGGGGCTGGCACCGCATGTGATGTGGGAATCGAACCGTGGTCCCTGAACTTGCCTGAGTTTGCCTAAGCAGGCACTTTAGACTGCTGAGCTGTCTCACCAACCCTGGCTGACTTTTTTTTCTTTTTCTTTTCTTTTTTTCTTTTTTAAAAATTGTTTAGGACAGGGTCTACCGGGTCTACAGGGTCTACGAGGTCTCACCTTGTAGAGTGGCTAAATTCTTGATGTTAACCATTCTTACTGGGGTGAGATGAAATCTCAGTGTTATTTTAATTTGCATTTCTCCAATGACCAATGATGCTGAACATTTTTTCATATTTTTACTTGTTATTTGTATTTCTTTCTCTGAGAAATTATATTCATCTCAGATGCCCATTTTTGGGATTGAGTCTTTGAATCTGGGGGGCTTGATTTTTTTTTAATTCTTTATATGTTCTAGATAGAATGCCTTTGTCAGAGTCACAGTCAGCTATAATGTTTTCTGTTTGTTTGTTTTCTTTTTACATTGCTGAAGATTTGCTTTGAAGTGCAGAAACTTAAAAGAGATGAAATCCAAGCTGTTGATTCTTTGAAGTATTTCCCATGCAGTTTGGCTTCTGTTCATGAACTCTTTGCCTTCCCCTATGTCTTAAAGATTTCTACCTTCATTTTCCTCCAGAAGATTTAGCATTGCTGTTTTAACAGTTAAATCTTTGACCATTTTGACTGTAGCTTTGTGCATGGTGATAGGCATAGGTCTACTTTTAGCCTTTGGCATGTGGAATACCAGTTTTTCCAGCACCACTTATTAAGGAGGCTAGCTTTCTTCCAGTGAGCACGTTTGGCCCCTTTATCAAAGATAAGGTGGCTGAGTGTGTTTGCAATTGTGTCTGCATCTTCTAGGCTATTGCATTGATCTGTACCATGCTGATTTTATCACAGTGGCTTTCTAGTGTAATTGTGATACCTCCTGCCTTTCCTTTGTTGCCCCAGATTGACTTTGATATTCTGGGTCTCTTCTCGTTCCAAATGAATTTGAGGAAAATTTTCTCTATCTCTGTGAAGTATACTAATGTTATTTTAATTATGATTGCATTGAATCCGTATAACAATTTTGGGAGTATGGCCATTTTCACAATGTTGTTCCTTCCTATCTAAGAGCATGAAATATTTTTCCATTTTCTCAAATCCTCTTCAACCTCCTTTCTCAGAGTACCATAATTTTCACTGTATAAATCTTTTACATCCTTTGTGAGATTGACTCAGAAATATTTCCATTTTTTGGATGTTATTGTGAAAGATGTGGTTTCCCTAATTTCTCTCAGTGTGTTTATGGTTTCTGTACAAACATGCCAATGATTTTGAGTGTTGACTTTGTATCCTGCTGCGTTGCTAAATTTGGTGATTAACGGCTGGGAAGATAGCTCAGTAGAATAAGTGCCTGGCTGGCAAACACAGGGTCCCGAGTTCAATCCCCAGTATCACAAAAAATAAAATAAAACAAAATAAAATAAATCTGGTGATTAAATCTATAAGACTCTTGGTGGAGTTTTTGGGGTTCTCTAAGTAAAGCATCATGTCATCTGCAAATAATGATAATTTCACTTCTTCTTTTCTAGTCCTTATTCCTTTTATTTCTCTTTTCTAATGGCTCTGGCTCATATTTCCAAAACTATATTGAATAGGAGTGGAGACATTGGACATCCTCATCTTGTTCCTGATTTTAAAGTGAAGGCCTTCAGTTTTTGCCCATTTCATGATGTTGGCTGTTGGTTTCTCATAGATGGCTTTTATCAAATTGAGATATAGACCATCTATTTTAATCTTCTGTTGGGTTTTATCATGAATGAGTGTTAGACTTTGTCAAAAGCTTTTTATGCTTCTACCAAGATGATCATGTGGTTTTTGTTCTTAATTCTATTGATGCGGTATATTACGTTTATG